ACCCATCTCTGAAACAAGGAGAGGGGTGTTTATTTCCTGATGCTTGTGAAAAAATACGCGATACGAAATTTCATTAACAGTCGCCAGACCCATCGGTTTCCCAGTTCTCAGGGAGAAGGAGGCGGACCGCGTAACCCCTTCACCGTTTGACCATGAGCTAGAATCTTGCGGGAAAACGAGCACGTGCGCCGTTGCAAGAAGCAGTGACTATGTAGTACCAGATTTCAATATTTCAGATCAACCGGTGACCCCTGAGGTCAGGTCAAAAACTCATGGAATGGGTTCAGTTTGTTTTGATGACTAACATCGCCAAAAATGGACGCACGGAGATGCAATATGGACACCATCGTGTTTGCCGTGCTCAGGCGCGTCGAATTACTTTTGTATTCGGGTGAGGTCAACTTAGGGTGTTGAGCTCAGGTCAAGGTCAGGTCAAAGTCATCCAAAGTATGAATCTGGTCAAAGGAGGTCATATCCCATACCGTTCGATTCAAAAGGCCTTCCTGAGTTCATTAGTGGCTTTCCGGCTCGCTAGCCCACTTTCATCGGGGTAATTGATGAAAATTCTGATGACCTTAGTGACGTCATTATGACGTTACGCAAGGTCAGCAATACCACAATCAAGCGTTTGACCATACAATGATGGTATGAAATCACGATTCCATGTGCATACTTTTGAATTGATATTCTTATCTCTTTTCCGGTGACAAAATAGCAGTTTTAATGATTTATACCCTTATCATGGTAACGTGACCGACCTGACCTAACTTAAAAATGCAGCTAATGTCTCGAAATCCGGGTTGAAAAATAGGTTACGTTAACGTATGCCAGCCCTCAGCTCTTTATCACCACCATGTTTGGAGCACTCGCGCGAAAAAGGCTGTCAAGGGATGATACTCGCTCCTGGCCCCTTCTTGGCTGGAGAGGTTTTAAACACAAACAAATAAGCCCATGAATAAGTGAAGTGTTTCTTTATTCTAACACTTAACCCTCGCCGTCCGAGGGGGGGGGGCGGGTGCCGCCCCCCCATAGGGTTTTTTCGCGATAGCTCCGAACACGCTGGCGATAGAGAGCTGAAACTTGGCATACCTGACCTTTGATTCAAGCCGGATCTTTTGACACCAACCGCATTTTTGGGTCAGGTCAGGTCACTGACCTATGACGTCATAAATGAACCTCTGCACGGTCTTCAGATGTCGCAACTTCGCAACGCCCTCACTGCAGTGCCAGAGGAGATGTCACAGGGAAATGAAACTTGCAGGATCTAGTATCCATTATGAGTCTCACAACTTGTATATCTCGGATTTTTCCTTAAGGTCATATGAGGTCAGGTCATTTTCATGACCTCACCATTATAAGTCAATGGGGAAAAATTCAAACTGCTATTCTGGCGCCGGGAACGATCTCCCACTATCTCAATCACACAGAATCGTGATTTGATGCACTTCTTGCAAGGTTAGATGCGTCACTTTTGCAATGTTGACCTTGCGTGACGTCATTTATGACGTCATCAAGGTCATATTAGTTTTTCGTCAATAACTCTTGATCAAATTGAGCTAGCGAGTCGGGGAAGCCACCAATGGACTCGGGAAGACCTGCCGAATCGAATGATATGCGACATAACCCCTTTCAACCAACTTCGTGACCTTAGGGTGCTGACCTGACCTTGACCTGAGGTCAATACCCTAAGTTGACCTGACCCGAACAAAAAGTATATCATTCGACGCGCCTGAGCGAGGCGAACACGATGCTGCCAAAATCGCGGCTCTGCGGCCGTTTTTTGCGAAGTTATTTACCAAAAACTGAACCGTACCTTGGGACACTTGACCTGACCTCAGAGGTCACCGGTTGACCTAGGACCTTAAAATCGGGTACCAATCTCTGCGTCTCGTAACGGCGCACACGCTCGTTTTTTCCGCGACGCGCTAGCTCCACCAGGGGCGAAACGGCGAGGGGGGGGGTCGTACCCGCCCCACCCCCCTCGGCCGGCGCGTATGTAAAAAACCAATAGGTCCGGCGAGGGTTAACTTATCTAACACCTCACTAACACCTCACTTGCTAAGATGTTCCAAAAATTATGACTTATTGCTCGAACTAGTCCTGTGTTCTGCGAGCAGCCATCATTATTGCGTCTTCATGCGGTATTTTCACTTTTCAGTCGAGTGGATTATACCGCTAGGTACCTTTTCGGTATTCCTTTAAGGCAGCATGTGTTGCTGTTTAGTCTTATTGACGGCTAACAAAAAAAAAAAGAGTACTTTATTAACACGACACAGATACGCTTGTGAGAACTTAACCCTCGCCGGCCGAGGGGGGGGGGGCGGGTGCCGCCCCCCCCCATAGGGTTTTTTCGCGATAGCTCCGAACACGCTGGCGATAGAGAGCTGAAACTTGGCATACCTGACCTTTGATCCAAGCCGCATCTTTTGACACCAACCGCATTTTTGGGTCAGGTCAGGTCACTGACCTATGACGTCATAAGTGAACCTCTGCACGGTCTTCAGATGTCGCAACTTCGCAACGCCCTCACTGCCAGAGGAGATGTCACAGGGAAATGAAACTTGCAGGATCTAGTATCCATTATGAGTCCCACAACTTGTATATCTCGGATTTTTCCTAAAGGTCATATGAGGTCAGGTCATTTTCGTGACCTCACCATTATAAGTCAATGGGGAAAAATGAAAACTGCTATTCTGGCGCCGGGAACGATCTCCAACTATCTCAAGCACACAGAATCGTGATTTGATGCACTCCTTGCAAGGTTAGATGCGTCACTTTTGCAATGTTGACCTTGCGTGACGTCATTTATGACGTCATCAAGGTCATATTAGTTTTTCGTCAATAACTCTTGATCAAATTGAGCTAGCGAGTCGGGAAAGCCACCAATGGACTCAGGAAGACCTGCCGAATCGAATGATATGCAACATGACCCATTTCGACCAACTTCGTGACCTGGGGGTGCTGACCTGACCTTGACCTGAGGTCAACACCCCAAATTGACCTGACCCGGACAAAAAGTATATCATTCGACGCGCCTGAGCGAGACGAACACGATGCTGCCAAAATCGGCGCTCTGCGGCCGTTTTTTGCGAAGTTATTCACCAAAAACTGAACCGTACCTTGGGGCACTTGACCTGACCTCAGAGGTCACCGGTTGACCTAGGACCTTAAAATCGGGTACCAATCTCTGCGTCTCGTAACGGCGCACACGCTCGTTTTTTCCGCGACGCGCTAGCTCCACCAGGGGCGAAACGGCGAGGGGGGGGGGGGTCGTACCCGCCCCCCCCCCCTCGGCCGGCGCGTATGTAGAAAACCAATAGGTCCGGCGAGGGTTAACAAAAGCTTAAGTGCGTGTTACCGCATTCGCTCAGTGAAGCTTGTGCTACTAACAATACCTACAGTACAACAGACAAATGTGGGCTACAATCGTAAAACCTATGTTGCCGGCCGTTAGCTGTCCATAACGGTATTGCCAAGATCTGATAAAGCACAACATGGAATGCCGTATGGCAGCTTACATCGATTAATGGTAATTTTTAGGTCGTGCACCGTCCTTGGTTGACAATCCTTTACGCGCCCATATCCATTATCCAGGGAAGCCAACGATGAGCAGTTCTTCGCTCCGCAAATAGTGATCCCGAGCTGCTCCTAAGCTCTTCACCGTCAATGCATGATTGCGTTAGTTCATCATTGACTGATGACTGATGACTGATGACTGGTGCAAAAAGTCCGCTTCGCCTGAATGTCGGCTGCTCTGCCTCTTCAGGCTCGCTGCAATAGCGGCGATGGCGCTCTTTTCACGGCACCACCAGGCACTCTCAGGTGAACTGGACTTTATACTCGGCCTTTGCTCGGCGGCGACCGGCTGCTATGTCATTTTGTGCTTTCAGCCGGGATCAGAGAGGTGGCTGGTTGGTGGCCAGCACTGGTCGGCCAGGAAAGCGCGTATCGGGGCTGGCAATGGAAGCAGTAGCGAGACCGCGTCCCAAGCACCGTCGTAGGGTTGAAAGGAGGAGGACATTTATCCCGATAGTATGCCAACGTTATGATATCGTAGCATTTGTTTTGGCCGTGTAGAGGCTCACGTCCCGATGACGTAAGCGATCGGTGAGATGATTTGACCTTAAAACACAGTTGATGTTCTAAGATCCTATTTGAATCGAATGTATGGTATGCTATCTTTACCTTTACCTTTACCTCTGAAGCGTTCTGCGCAATCGCGAAAAATAATCAAGGCTGCCCACGCCAACCACCCCACTCTCAGTCAGGAAAGGTTAACGGATCGGTTAACGGAAAGGTGACGGATCGGCCCAAGTTTATTTTCCAATACTGCACGAGGCGGACAGTAATACCGAACAGACAGAATATATACACTGAATCCAATATAGATATTGAACATTTCTGACGCGTGTTTGCAAAGGGAGCTTCTACAAACGGTTGCGTGAGCCGATGCTGTTTGACATTCCAAGATTGGATAGTTGACTGAACGGTGAAACCTACTCAGTTCAAATGTTCTGGTTAAAGTACCTAGCCTACCTACGTCTATAACCTTTCGTAATAATGATGGCTGAGCCCTAGCAAGAAATAAATGCGCCTTCGTGTACCGCGCTGCACAACATTTGATCAGAAATAAACTAACTAAACGAGCCGGCCAGTGTGCCTTGGGGCACGAGACATGGTCTTGTGTATATGTTACGTAGATCTCTCTCTCTCTCTCCCCCTCTCTCTCTCTCTCTCTCTCTCTCTCTCTCTCTCTCTCTCTCTCTCTCTCTCTCTCTCTCTCTCTAATCAAGTCAACCTAGCAGAGTGTAGAACACATTCTTTACTGAATATCATAAACGCCAGGGAATAATTACATAATAACCAAATATCCGATAGCACAGCGTTCTTTGGTTGCAAGTTTCTTCACACCGGTCGTTCGTCTTGCGTTGGCGATGATCTAACGCAAATTCTCGATGGAGTTCCGTTGTCTCCGGCGGTGCTCTCGTCACCGTTCGGTGTCACGTCACCGGCCCGACCTGCAGTGGGCGACTGTCTCTGAGCCAGGCGGCCTCTGTCGAGGGCCGGCCGGCCTTTCCGACATCCCAGTGGCGGCCGGCCGCCGTCGCCGATTTTGGCGATGCCTGTCACGTGATTTGTCAATCAGCGGTCACGGCTTTCGCCATGGGGCCGGCACGAGCGCGGCGCGGCGCCGGCCGGTGTCCGGCCCAGAGTGGCCATAAGTTGGGGCGCCGCTGGCGGACGCACTCCTGCTCGTGAGCTCACGCATGCCGATGGCGGTACGATACGGCCGGTCACGGCCAGCAGTCTGACAGAGCCGTTCCTCAATCGGTTACGGCAATCTGTCGACGAGTATCCGGGATGGTGATGGATTCGGTCCCGCGCCGCGAGCTGTGCGGGGTTCGGGTCGGTCCATTCACAGAGACGGAGTCTCGCGAGGCTCCATCACGTCACCCGTATAGAGTGCCGCGGTGCGAGGGCGGCCCAAGAGCGGCCGGCCTGCCGGACTGGCCGCGCGGCCGGCGCGATCTCGGACTGGGGCAGCGGTGTATCAGAGACCCGTTCCTTCCGTGCCGGTTCAGAGGGTGCAACGCCACCGAGAGGCGATGTGTGCTGCTCTCAAAGACACCAGAATGACGGGCTAATGGACTACGGCAGTCTACGCCGGTCAGAGACAAGGCGCATAAAACATCAACCCGGAGATGTCGCTTCGAAGATGTCATATTTATCATGCAGGGCGGCAAAATGACACGAGGAAAGTGTGACTCGAAAGAGCATCTCTCTCTCTCTCTCTCTCTCTCTCTCTCTCTCTCTCTCTCTCTCTCTCTCTCTCTCTCTCTCTCTCTCTCTCTCTCTTTCTCTCCCTCCCTCCCCTCCCCCCCCCCCCCCTCTCTCTCTCTCTCTCTCTCTCTCTCTCTCTCTCTCTCTCTCCTTATTCTCCTTTCCAAAAACTATGTTTTATTGGTATGGCCCATGTGTTCGCTAATTATGAAATCTGTACACAATCCTAATGCATGCATAACTAGACATACATACCGTATCATGTTATCGCTATTCAAGGCAAGTATGATCTAACCGTGTTACCAAACTGATTTCACTTTTAAAGGCAGACACAGCCATTAGCCAATGCCTTTGATATGTGGGCTCCACTTCAATTAGTGTTCAAATACGAGGGGGTGAATAGTCTCTGGGACTGTTAAAAGATGATGGGCGAACGCTGGCGGGGTTTGACCGCAGTAAAGATGTGTGCATCCAGTAGCAGCTGTGTACACTTGCGAGACTAAAAAGATATTTGCTCACGGTAAGCGATTTGGCAAATTGTCGCTCGTCATTCTTGTCCGAGTCCGCAATGGCTATAGAGAGGGTAACTACCGATCGCGTCTGGTGTTTGCACGGTATACGAAATGTAGGTACCGCGCTCTCGGGGAGATACCGGCTACCGACAAGCCTCTAAGGAGAAATGATGCGTTAATTGACGCGTCTTGCATGAAAGTAGATGCTGCCGCAATCGCTCTTACAGCATAGAACAACTTTTTTGTTATGAGCTTACTTGAAAGCTTCGACCTTGGGAAGCGAACATGCTTACGACTTACGAGTACCTATCTTGGCTCGCACCATCGAAAAAGGAAATAATGCTGATGTCTTATTTTCTTTTTCACACTTTTATAATTACATTGAAAATATATGAAACAGTGATGCCTATCGTAACGTGAATGCGCATTTGTTAAAACTTCTGCAATTGCAAGGTTATGGGGACACATACAATTAGGTTTTGAAATTAAGCGCAACCCGAGTGCATACAAACGTCGCAAGGCGTTAAAGGACTTCTTAACGTTTATGCCTTGCTTTAATAAAAATAAGATTATAAATCCAAGTAAAAAGTATGAGTAATGCTTTGATATAAATTAATGCGTAGCAAAGCAAAGAAAAAACATATTGCTTCAAAAGATGGGGTCGGTGCCTTCGTAGTCGTGACAAATGGAATAAATTTAGGGACGTACGCACCTCAGAACGAGCCGGGGAGCAAGTGCAGGGTGCTGACGAAGGAATCCTGTCTGCAGTGCCATCTGCTCAGCCCTTCCCACCGAACCGGTCAGGGAGAGAATGAATTTTAATGGTGGCTAATGAGCATACATAGCGGTCGTAGCGGTGCGTAGTTTTACCTTTCACCAGGTGTTCGAGGCAGCTGCGATATTCATGATATTAGGATAACGGGTGTCACAGGGTATTTTGGTAGATGTCGGTCACAAGCGTGCGAAATGTCGTGTGCTAATGACAACTGATATAGATGGCCTCAGCATTTCTGCGCTCACATCTGGAGTTCAAATGTTATCACCATCTACATTTATCCGCAGCACTCAAATATGATGCGATACAATCGCTAGTTTCGTTTCAAAAGTGAATATTTGCGCTTGCAGACGGGTAAAAACACTGGGTTAACTAGAGGATCAGGAAAATTAGGAAAATTATTTATTCCGGTATGTTTTTACTTTTTACCTACGCAAAATACGGAGAAGGGTCATCTATTTGTAGCTGACTTTTACTCAATCGTAAACGACTGCCAGCAATATGAATTTCGAGACTTCAATGAATGCATCATAGCAGGTGCCAATTGCAAGTGGGATTGGTCACGCCCTGCACCTTCAAAACCAGGGCTTCAAGGGTATATCACAAGGGGTTTTATATTTTCTTTACTTCCTGATGATCCCGTGCGAATAGAAGCAGAGTGTGCGGTGCCAACAGTCGGGCAAACATGTGGCACACAGGTTAACCCGCGCACCGACAACTTCTGCGCCAACTTCGTACCGACGGGGGGGGGGGGCGGATGACCGCCCCCCTGAGATCTCGAGAACGAAGCAAGATAGCGACAAGCGGTAAACGGCATCGGATACGCACGGTCAAGGTCTACAATTTTTACTAAGGTCATTTTCAGGTCAGGTCAAAGATGACGTCACAGGGGTCGAAAAAGTCAAAATGGCGGCGCAAGATATGGAGAGAGTTTTTCTCGAATAACATTCGACCTAGTCAAGATAGAAACAAACTAAGGGCACCATCGAGATCCTCTCGGCAATCCGCATCGAATGATATATGAGTTTACCTCGAAAGGTCAAGGTCAAAGGTTGACCTCAGGTCACGTGACCTCGAGGTCATCATGTATATCATTCGATGCGTCTTGACGAGCTGAACACAATGAGACCATCCGCGTGGCTGTATCTTGTTCCTGCACGGAGTTATTGGCAAACAAAACTTTGGTGATCTTTGATGACGTCACATGACCTTACAGCTGCCCAACAGCAAATCTGACCTCAAGGTAGTGAAGGTTGATCGTATATGAAGTCATGTATGGTATATGGGGCCATTCCGACCCGTTTTAGTGGTAAAAACAGGGAGTTGATTTTTCCCCCATTGACTTATTTATAATGTGGAGGTCGCGAAATTGACCTGACCTTAGGTCACCGATATCAAAATTCCGAGATATACAAATTGTAGCTACTAATGACCTCATAACATCCTGCGACTTTCAAAGGCCTCCGACATCTACTGTAGCTCTGGCACGGTGACAAAGTTGCAAAAAGTGACTTGAGGTTGGGTCATTCAAAGTGACCTGATGACCTGACCTTTAAAGTTAGGAGGTTCAAACTTGCTTTCAAACTTGTAATTTTACACAAACATGTGTAAAATTGATGAGGGAATAGTCGCACCAAGTTTCGCGGCGCTACGCGCCACGGTTTTCCCGCTATTCGCGAAAAACCTCAGGGGGGGGCGGATATCCGCCCCCCCCCCGTCAGTGGGCGTGTTAATCATGTGCCCTAGTCTGCTGTGAGTGGTCAGTGCTGATTGGTCTCGGTGTCTGACTTTGCTCTGATGTACACATAGCTTTTATTACCACTTCACCCATATGTTTTTCTAACGCTCAACTTTTTAAACTTTAAACATAACTGTTCAGTGATCAACAACATATGTATACAGGGTGTCCCAGAATTACCCGGACATTGTTAATTAGCGTATAAAATAAGGCAAACATGATTGCGCTTTTTTCTTTTTATCGTCCTATATAGTCAACTAGGGTGGCTGTGAAATAGCACATGCAGTAGATACGCTTGTTACAAGATCAGCCGACAATGATTGAAAATGCCAGCCATTGATGGTCTCAGTTGTTTTACGGCTCTCCCGAAACTGGGTGAAGGCCTGTTTTCTTTGACCTGTTGCCGGAGGATAATACGATCATATAAGATAAACTTAACATCAAAGTGTTCCCAGGTCATAAGGCATTATCCCCCAAAACAAAAATTGCTGCCATACACCACTTTTGCCGCGTTTTTTACATCTGAAGTGGAGAAGCTCCATGTCTGAACATGGCGGGACCTTTGGCTTCCAACAGATTTGGTTTCCAAAACAAACACGTTCATGGCCATTTGGTTTACGGCATCCAGTTTTTTGTACTGGTAGAATATTACCGCAGTAGCACTCTGTCCTAACGGCTGTCGTTGGGCCATCATATCAAGCCGAATGAGTGCACGGTGGCTCAAAATGTCTCACAATTTGATTTTCGACGGGTGCCTGGCCGTCTCTGCTGTTAGGGCGTTGTAGCCATCTGACGTTCACACACGCCTTTTTCGGGCGGTTCAAATGACAGAATACCTTCGTTAGACCACAAAGTGTGCTTCAATATAATTTTTTGTTGTATATGTTATATTTTTGGCATGAATTGTAATGATTTTCGCTGCTTTTCCCGTAGTTTTCGCATATTTTTCAGACGAGGGACCCCAAATTCCAAAATTTTGCGAAGATAGTGGTGGAAAGTAGACTGATGTTCTTTAGATAATCCTGATCTATCGTTTAGCTAGTTTTTAGCTAGATCAGTGACGTTTGTTGTCCATGACAAGCAACCACCCGTTTGACAACTGGTGCATGGCCCTTTTTGGCCGAGCCCAAGCTTGTCAATCAGGTTTATCTCTTGCTCTCTCTGGCTTCGTTAGCTGATATAATTGCGCTTTGCTCAATCATAACTGCTTGCAGATGAGCTGCTGAAGCTCTCCAGCAAAAACCATGCCGAAAGTCCGTTTACAAAGTTGAAAACAGGAGTTGATTCACCATGGTTGCCTATTAGTGGCTTAAGCTGAAAACGGAAAAGGACTACTCTTACTTGACTCTGGATAATACTTGACTCGAGTCGTTACCGGTCACCAAAAGCACACAGTCCCCAAGCTCGATAGCTAAGGGATATCTTATAAAAGTATGATGCTTGTATATCATTAGAATTGAGCGCAATCGTACTTTTAGCCAGAAAATAAATGTCCGGGTAATTCTGGGACACCCTGTATGGTTATTCGTTACCTTTACGAGCATATGAATAAATGATAAGTTTTTGAAGCAAGATTTACATCATAGTGTAGCACATCAGCAACTGTACTTACTTTGCTTGAATGGTGTCACACAACAGCATATCACATTGTGCAGTTATTATAAATATATTTTGCGTTATGGAATGTGACGTATACATTTCATAGGCCCGGCAGTCGGCACAGCCCTACCAATGACATCGCTCACCGCTGACCTCATGCGAGCCATCCATTCCATATGTCAGCATGGATTTACGAGGCACCGATTGTAATGCAGACGCATGGATGAGAGGCGGATGCAGTCGTCATGCTGCTTCGCTGGTAAATCCACACACATTCCGGGAAAACATACTCTGAGCAGAGGCTATGAATGATTCATTGTTGCACTTTGCATGTTATTTCAGGTCTTGTGTTGTTATAACTGATGTCAATTACAGAAAATCGGGATATCGATACCAAACCAAATACCAGCATATAGTTTTTCTGAATGCTTGAGACGAGGTGTTAGTATCACTGATGTTAGTTGTCGGACTTTCGTCCCCGTCTTGAGTTGAGATGTTAGTTTCACAACGTTTCGGCCAGTTACTTCTCCGGCCGTCGTCAGGTGTTCTTTGGCCCTTAGAAGGACCTGGATGTTGGTGGCGTTGCGCCGTACGCGTCATACCGTGCGAAAGCTCCTGTAGTCAGCGGGAATCGAACTCGGGTTTCCCCGGTGATAGTCCACGGTTCTAACCACTCCACTATCGAGGCAGACATCGTTATGGAGCTGGAAACTTGGTGTCATTTATCCCCCAGATGTTTTTGTGATTTCCTTAGTAGTGGGAGCCATATTGGGCTGATGTCAACGCTTGGCTTGCTGATGGGGTTGCTAGCCAGCGCCATGTGTGCGGCTTCCTTGATTTTTCTGATTTTCCAGTGTGGCTCCTTGTCGATGATGGTGGTATCATCCCAAGCAGGTCTGTGATCTCCTTCAGACCATGCATGCTCCGCCACACCGGATTTCAGTGTTTCGCCCCGGATGGTGGCCTTCCTGTGTTCTTCGAGCCTGACCGCCAGTGGGCGGCCAGTCTCGCCCTTGTATGACCTGCCGCAGCTGCACGGGATGTCGTATATGCAGTTCTTTGTTTTCTCCTTGGTGGTTGGTGGTCTGACCTTTGTGAGTGACCTGCGGAGGGTGGTGGTACTTCTGAACACCGTCCTGATGTTGTATGCTCCGCAGATTCGCCTTAGCTTCTCTGACAGTCCTCTGTTGTGTGGGAGGGATACTGTCGCGATGGGCTTATCCCTTGGTTGCTGTTGGGATGCTTCCTTGGGTTTGTGTTTCATGAAGCTCGTTGGGTATCCGTTTCTCCTGAAGGTGCTGGTAAGGCGTGACATTTCCATCTTTCTGGCTGCTTCGTCTCCACAGATGTTGGTGGCTCGGGTCTGCAGGCATCTTACGATACCTTTCTTGACTGTGTCTGGGTGGTGTGACTTGAAGTTGAGGTAGCGGTCGGTCGCTGTTGGTTTGCGGTAGACCGATGTTCTGAATGTTTCCTCAGATTTCTCCACTTGGACGTCAAGGAATGGTAGTTTGTTGTCGACTTCTGTTTCCATTGTGAATTGGATGGAGGGTCGGAGGCTGTTGAGGTGGTCTAGGAACGGTGTTATGTCCTCGCGATGGTCCCACAGGACGAATGTGTCGTCGACATATCGCAGCCACAGGGATGGTTTCAGTGGTGCTGTTTGTAAGGCCAGTTCCTCGAAGTGTTCCATGTAGATGTTGGCGATCACCGGTGACAGGGGTGATCCCATGGCCATTACTTCAGTTTGTTGGTAGTAGTCATCGCCCAGTTGGAAGGCGGTGGTGGTGACACAGAATGTCAGGAGTTCCATGATGTCATCAGTCGGGATTGTCGTTCTTTCGGGCAGTGTATCGTCGCTCTCCAGTCTTGTCCTCACTATGCTCAGAGCTTCGGTAGTGGGCACATTGGTGAACAGACTCACCACATCGAAGCTTACCATTTGCATGTTCGGCGAAGGTCGCATGGCCTGAACCAGTGAGACGAAGTGGGCTGAGTTCTTGACATATGTAGGTGTTTTGCCACTGAGTGGGTTGATGATCTTGACGAGGAACTGGCTCAGAGGATGGCAGGCTGAGCCACGGCAGCTTACTATTGGTCTTAGCGGTACATTGGTCTTGTGTACCTTTGACAGCCCGTACATGTGTGGAAGTTTGCTGTGATGTTGGCTCAGCTTTCTGTACTGGGCGTCCGTGAGTTGTTCCCTGTCCTTGTTCTTCTTAAGGAGCTTTGTTAGTTTGCGTTCACAGGCCGGGGTTGGGTCTTTCTTCAGTTTGGTGTACGATCCATCTGTCACAATGCTGTTCATCTTGTGGTCGTATTCCTTCTTGTCCATGACAACGGTGGTGTTTCCTTTGTCTGCTGGAAGTATGATGATGCTGCCGTCTTGTTTGAGGTTGTTGATTGCTGCCAGTTCCTCTTTGGTGGTATTGGCCTTTGGCGGTTTGGCCCTTTCCAATGCATGCCTGACTTTCCAGCGTAGTTCTTCTGCATGTTCTCTGTTAATGTGGGATGTTGCTTCCTCGATTGGGGCCACGAAGTCTAGCCTCCGACCCTCCATCCAATTCACAATGGAAACAGAAGTCGACAACAAACTACCATTCCGTGACGTCCAAGTGGAGAAATCTGAGGAAACATTCAGAACATCGGTCTACCGCAAACCAACAGCGACCGACCGCTACCTCGGGCACATTGGTGAACAGACTCACCACATCGAAGCTTACCATTTGCATGTTCGGCGAAGGTCGCATGGCCTGAACCAGTGAGACGAAGTGGGCTGAGTTCTTGACATATGTAGGTGTTTTGCCACTCAGTGGGTTGATGATCTTGACGAGGAACTGGCTCAGAGGATGGCAGGCTGAGCCACGGCAGCTTACTATTGGTCTTAGCGGTACATTGGTCTTGTGTACCTTTGGCAGCCCGCTAAGACCAATAGTAAGCTGCCGTGGCTCAGCCTGCCATCCTCTGAGCCAGTTCCTCGTCAAGATCATCAACCCACTGAGTGTCAAAACACCTACATATGTCAAGAACTCAGCCCACTTCGTCTCACTGGTTCAGGCCATGCGACCTTCGCCGAACATGCAAATGGTAAGCTTCGATGCGGTGAGTCTGTTCACCAATGTGCCCACTACCGAAGCTCTGAGCATAGTGAGGACAAGACTGGAGAGCGACGATACACTGCCCGAAAGAACGACAATCCCGACTGATGACATCATGGAACTCCTGACATTCTGTGTCACCACCACCGCCTTCCAACTGGGCGATGACTACTACCAACAAACTGAAGGAATGGCCATGGGATCACCCCTGTCACCGGTGATCGCCAACATCTACATGGAACACTTCGAGGAACTGGCCTTACAAACAGCACCACTGAAACCATCCCTGTGGCTGCGATATGTCGACGACACATTCGTCCTGTGGGACCATCGCGAGGACATAACACCGTTCCTAGACCACCTCAACAGCCTCCGACCCTCCATCCAATTCACAATGGAAACAGAAGTCGACAACAAACTACCATTCCTTGACGTCCAAGTGGAGAAATCTGAGGAAACATTCAGAACATCGGTCTACCGCAAACCAACAGCGACCGACCGCTACCTCAACTTCAAGTCACACCACCCAGACACAGTCAAGAAAGGTATCGTAAGATGCCTGCAGACCCGAGCCACCAACATCTGTGGAGACGAAGCAGCCAGAAAGATGGAAATGTCACGCCTTACCAGCACCTTCAGGAGAAACGGATACCCAACGAGCTTCATGAAACACAAACCCAAGGAAGCATCCCAACAACAACCAAGGGATAAGCCCATCGCGACAGTATCCCTCCCATACAACAGAGGACTGTCAGAGAAGCTAAGGCGAATCTGCGGAGCATACAACATCAGGACGGTGTTCAGAAGTACCACCACCCTCCGCAGGTCACTCACAAAGGTCAGACCACCAACCACCAAGGAGAAAACAAAGAACTGCATATACGACATCCCGTGCAGCTGCGGCAGGTCATACAAGGGCGAGACTGGCCGCCCACTGGCGGTCAGGCTCGAAGAACACAGGAAGGCCACCATCCGGGGCGAAACACTGAAATCCGGTGTGGCGGAGCATGCATGGTCTGAAGGAGATCACAGACCTGCTTGGGATGATACCACCATCATCGACAAGGAGCCACACTGGAAAATCAGAAAAATCAAGGAAGCCGCACACATGGCGCTGGCTAGCAACCCCATCAGCAAGCCAAGCGTTGACATCAGCCCAATATGGCTCCCACTACTAAGGAAATCACAAAAACATCTGGGGGATAAATGACACCAAGTTTCCAGCTCCATAACGATGTCTGCTTCGATAGTGGAGTGGTTAGAACCGTGGACTATCACCGGGAAAACCCGAGTTCGATTCCCGCTGACTACAGGAGCTTTCGAACGGTATGACGCGTACGGCGCAACGCCACCAACATCCAGGTCCTTCTAAGGGCCAAAGAACACCTGACGACGGCCGGAGAAGTAACTGGCCGAAACGTTGTAAAACTAACATCTCAACTCAAGACGGGGACGAAAGTCCGACAACTAACATCAGTGACAAATACCAGCAATTCAAAATGCCAATCGAAAATACCGAAACCGAACCAACTTGAGAATGCCAGGTAAATATTAGCTTTTTACCAAATTCGCAGCCCCTTATACCTCAGTGAGATTTCATAATACCAACACAATGCCAAAAATATTAGGATTAAAATAACAAATAACAAAAAAGTTGGTATTGGTTTGGTATCGATACACCAATAAGTCTGTACCAGTATAGCGCCTTTTGGGGCGACTAACGGAGCGAGCGAGGGGGTGAGTCTTGCACGTGCGAAATTTCGAGGGGGTACCTCCAACTGACTTTAGCACGGCACCCTACTGACCGGTTTCTAGCGATGTGCCAAATTTTAGCACAATCGGCCCAGCCGTTCTCGAGATCTGGGAGCGGCACCCTGCACGTGCGCACGTGCAACATGGGTCCCAACTGACTTGTGCACGGCACCCTACTAACTGGTCCCTAACCGTGTACCAAATTTGAGCGCAATCGGTCGAGCCGTTCTCGAGATCTGGAAACGACCCCTGCACGTGCGCACGTGCAGCAGCACCCCAACTCTGGCACATGGATATGCAGTGCCTAGTGGGTGCCTACCTATATGCCAAATTTCAGCGCAATCGGCCAAGTAGTTACCGAGATATTGCAACAATTACAAAACTGACACCTCTTCGCTTTGCACGTGGCACGTGCATAAGGGGTCACCCAAATGCATCGGAAATAGTCCATTACTTGGTAGAAGGAATGAAGCTACCCTACAAAAATTACCGCATGTAAATCGGTCAAGTGGTTGCTGAGATATAAGCCTCGCAAAAGCGTCCGCACGGCCGGCCGCTCATACGTGGCTCATACTCAGAAATTTCCGTTAATCTAAGGAAAGACTACGCTCGCTTCGCTCGCTCCGTAATCAATTGACATCTCTAATTGTACTATTCAAGGTGAGATAGCAATAAAATTTCTTCCAGCGCTGGAAAATTGATATAACTTGACCCGCGACCGCCTGGGGGGGGGGTCGGATCCGACCCCCCCCTCCGTTTTTCTTGAATAACTCATGAACCACTTTCGCTATCTACTTGAAACTTGGCATACCTTCTCCCCCATCAATTTGACGTCTCCTGTGCAATTTTAAGAAAAAATTTCCAAAAAATTTTGAGATATAATCGATTTTAGTGATGTAACTACATGGCGTTTTTAGTCAAAAAGTGGTAAATGTTTAAAAAATCTCCAAAAATCAGGGTTTACAGCAAATTGCAAATTAAGGACATGATGAAAAGACGCAGCTCAACGAGTTCTTTAAAATGGCTATCTCGGATTTTCCATAAAATGCGTTTTTCACCCCTAAAAATTCAAAAAACTACATTTTTTGGAAAACAGCTAATAAAATCCAAAATTTTGGGAATTTCCAAAAAACCGGAATATATGTTGTAGAGCTCTATTAGAACATTTGATGCCTCAAATTTCAACTTTCTATCTTGATTTTTGACCCCCAAATTGTAAAAAAATAGCTCCAACATGCATAGGGCATGGTGACGTCATAAGCATTTTCGTGAATTAGAGGCACTTCTGAACATCGCATGTGGAAACAAATGGCACCACTAGATTCCTGGGACAAAGCTCGTCTAGAAAAGTGTATTTTTATGTCAAAAATAAAAAGTTGAAAAATTGACTTTTTTCTTTTTATTATGCTTTCAATGCACACTTATGCTTTATGCTTTCAATGCACACTTATCACCAGCACAGTGACTTGGGGTCAAATATAACCATTACCATCGGATTCGGCGTGAAAAATAAGCCATAAAACATGTGTCGCACGCCCATGTAGCAGAAATTGAAAACCGTGACTTTTCGTGACCTGACCTGACCTTGACCCGTACTTAGTATGACCCCTATACGCACATGGTACCTTCACTTGGCCTTTGAGGTCATTTTTGGTGAGTTTCGAGCAGCAGCTATCGATTCCGCTGTCCGTAAGCCTAATCATGCAAAACCCCTGAATTTGACCTTTGACCTGACCTTGACCCGAAAGTTGACCTCAATCTTAAAATCTTAAGAGTTCTTGCCGCCTCGCGGGGCTCGATACGACCATTGGTTCTCGAGATAACGGGGGGGGGTCGGATCCGACCCCCCCAGGCTGTCGTGGGTACGGAAATAGCCCAGGCGGTGCCGGGTTAAGTAAATGGAAGATAAACACAATTCATATGCAATTCTGTCAGTCTTTCTTTTTAAAATGTTCCCGACAAAAAATGTTTTGTCCGATTTCATACAATCATGGATATGTACTAGACTAGGCCATCATTTCCTTAGAGGAATCATGCCATTTACAAGAGTATAAAACAGTCATCATTGCAATTTGAAGACCTGACAGCATATACGGAAAGGAAATATTTCTTTGGATAAGTGCTTGTAAAGAAAACTATTTTAACAGATCGTACTTACCCGAGACATGAATTAAATTGTGATTATAATTTGGTCAAGAATAAGAAAAGATGCCCTGCTGATTGGATTTGAAGAATGAGTGATTGCACCATTTCTGCTGAGGGCACCATTTCTGCTGAGGGCACCATTTCTGCTGATATGTAGACATGTTCACGTTTGTTCTTTTCTATGTTTCATCAGGCTGACTTATTCCGTACATTTTAAGCACTATGAGTCAGCCTTCCCGGTAAGCCGTTAGTGCGACCAACAGATGATAAAATTGGTCTGTCGGGAACATTTTCCGCGTATTTTCTGTCGTGATGGCTTCCCGGCTCATCCGGGCCCGAAGTCGGTACGGAGAACGGCCCTGCTGACGACCCCCATAGACACACAATGGGGCCGTGATTCAAACCCCAGTCGGCCAGCTCAGCTCGCTTCCCGTCAGAGAACAATGACCGCTTTGACGGCGCCTCTCAATGTTTGAAGGACTGACAGGTAGAGAACGGGCTGGTGGGATGCTGAAGCAGGTCACGCTGGGGCAAGCTATGGTGAGTAGGGCCACATGAACGCTGA